TAATAAGGATAACAAATGTGAATGCGAGACTGTCACGCAATGGTTCCACAGGTGCATGACTATTCAAGTACTTTTATTTGCTGCCTCTCTATACTAAACTAAACATGTGTATTTAAATTTTACAATAATTAAACTAAAATATGTATAAAATGTTGTTGACAGACAGCAACTTGTCGTCTTAACATGCCATTTTACAAGTATACCAAGTGTTCGAAATGTAAACACACAGTGAATATGTATACAAACTAAATTGCATATATAAGTACATGTATGAATGTAATTATATTATATATAGATAAGTTAAAGCAAAAAGATACATCTGTGAAGAAATAATTTTGTTGTATTAAATCTTAAAAATTAACCGTGATGGTAATAATAATTACTAAATGTTTGTAATTGTTTTGTTTTTTCACTATTCGAAGGGTCGTAGGAAGGAAGTGATTTAATTTTTCGTATGTCTAATGAAGAAAAAACACATCCACTCTTTTAAAAATTCTTTTAATTACTTCAAATATTCTGTTTCGATGTGTCATGCCTTTGTCTGTAGATGTCAATTTGCTACAATTCTTAATTTATATTACATATATATCGTTAAAGAAAGATATTCAGTAGATATATGTTTTGTTATATTTGCGTGTTAAAATCTGATTGAAATGAATTGTCACACATTATTGACGCACTGTAAATTTGGATAGCTTCCGTTCCATTACATACTAATTTATTACTATTACTTCAAAAATAAATGGAAATATATCGTGAAGTAAGGTTGCGTTCTTTCGTGAACTGTAACGCCAATGATTAATGTTGACTACTAAAATTAAATTATTGCTTACTATTTGTGTAAATGCTTTACAAGTAAAATACATCTTTTTTTTTCTAATAATTTATTTATGTCAACTAGTAATAGTATAAGATTACTTATTTTATGTTAGAAGGAACAATTTATATATTTTTTCATTGAAGATAGTATCGTTCAAAAATATATAAAGTTCTAATAGTTTCTCCAATAGACTAGATTATCTCAACTTTATTCTCAGCATTTTAAATAATCACCGCAACTGGATTTCAGAGAGCAGATATACTGACTGACCAAAGTTCAAAAATCAACTAAAAATCAATATTATCACAAAAAATCCAAATCCAATCTAAAGTAGAGGTATTGTATTTTGGTGGATATTGTGTCCTGTCCTATCCAACATTACCGAGGGATTTCTCTCACTTTAGCTGTATTCAGAGAAGTCTTCAACTTTTCTAGATCAATTCATTACCGAAAATTCTTATTCTATATTGTGTAAGAGTAGCACATTCTCCAAAAATATATAAGGATGTTTCTGTCTATTTCATATGTAGCTTGTATTAGTCTTGTTTAAAGGACGTTTTGGGATTTGGTATAAATTTGCTCTTATCAGATTATTTCGAGAGGTGGAGTTTTGTACCATGAGAACCTTCGCATTTAGACCACTTATGTTTTGTGTAACTCTAATTACTATTCAAAAATTCTTAAATTATTTTTCTTTACTAAAGTTTTTAAGAAATATACATATGTAGGTATACCTAACTAAATGTTACATATATTTTTGCTATTTCGAAGTTATTTGAATGGAATTAATAGTAAAATCTAGCTATAATTAGTTATCTACCTTAAGGCATTCAATCTAAATATAATCCTATAAATTTATAACACACATACATACACAATTTCAATCCTTTGAAGTTCCATTTTTCTATATTTGAAATATTGAACAAATATAAATATAGAGATTTTGCTTAAACCTTTACAACATTTTTAAGAAGTACAACTTATTTTTGGCATAAATTGAAATTTTAAGCTGTTGTAATACTATTTAACCGTCTCTGTATACAAAAAAGTGTTTTATTTATCAAGAGCTTATGCCAAATGCTATACCAGGCAATTTTGCTTTCCTTGTCATCGTCGTCATTGGAACACATGATATTTATATACAGTTTACAGAGTTAGAGCTCAAAACACGAGTAAAAATATTACAAAAAAAATTCCTCGTTTGCAAGGTTGGTTTGCTTTAATCCATATACTCACTCATCATACCCCAGAAAGCAAGTGGTTGTGTGTTGTCATTCTCTCAGGTTCTTGTTGTATGTGCTCTCTCTTAAAAAAATGGAATAAAAAAAATTATGAAATTGCGCAAGGACACGTTATTGATTTTATTTTATAACATCATTATTCTTATCCAGCTCATTGCAATGCCCACGATTTTATCGGAATTGGGTGTAATTTAAAGGTTTGCTAGTTGGGCTGTGTGTGGAAGATGTGGTATCAAGTATGATATTGTGTAGTATAGGGTTAAAAAGGATTATTGAATGCAAACATATAAAATTGCAAAGAATGTAATAGGATGTATATATGTGCGAGTTGGCTCGTAAATTCATATGAAATGATATGCATGCATGTATGTATCTTTATATGTTTGTAGGTCGTTAGTACAAATCGTTTCTTTTTGTTGGTAAGCTAAGCTATTGGATTTAGATTATTGCCTTAAGAACCAATTAAAACCAGTGTATTTATTTAGTTTCAGATTTAAAAATGTTTAGAGGAAATAATATATTTCTTATTATTAGGTAGACTTCTTAGAATAAAGAGACAAAATAACGAAAACTTAAATAAAATTATATCCAAATATGATATATGAAGTATATATCATACTTCATATCAATATTCATAAGTTTAATATTGAGTTCTTTTATACACGTACATTTTTCCATTAATATCAAACGTACATAATACGTTTGTAATATGTAATAGAACATAATTTTTAATTTTTTTTTGATTAATCAAATTAATTTTTATATTGAAAAAGTTTATTAAGTATTACCTTAAGTTATTTTTAATTCTTAAGCACAAATTTAAGCCCAGTATTTCCATTAAAAAATGCTGTAACCTGAATGATCTATTGTGTGAAGTACATTCTGACATAAAATGTTCTAAATAAATCATTTATTATAATAAATGGTATTATAATAAATTCATGTTGAGAATACGATTTATTACTATATATGTTATTGTATATATGTAAAAAATAACTCTTGTTACAATAAATTATATTATATGTATGTGAAAAATGACCTGTTTTACAATAAGTTATATTAAATATATATGTAAAAAGTGTTATTTATGACAATAAATTGTATTATATATATGTAAAAAATGTTATTTATATGTTATTATATGTATGCAAAATAATGCAATTTATTTCAATAAATGATATTGTGTGCATATAAAAAAATAGAAACTTATTGCAATAAATGGTATAACATGTATGTTTAAAATATTATTTATTACAATAAATGGTTGTTGGTATATATATATGTATGTAAAAAATGCCATTGGTTAAAAAAAAATTGTATTGCATATATGCATTGCAATTTATTATAATAAATGGTATGTATGTATATAACAAATGTTGTTTATTATAATAAATGTACTTATTGTAATATATTTTATGATAAATGCAATTCACTTATTCTCACAAACACCCATATTAACTATTACAATAATTATATTACTAGATTTATTTTAAATAAAATACTGGGCGGTATTGATTAGTAGTGATGAGACATTATGAGTTCGTATGTATAATGAAGTAAAGGAAGACCAAAACAAAAGCGTATGTTTTGCTTATCATAATAAATCGAAAAGAATAACATTGAAACACTTATTTTGAAAAAATAGTTATATTTCAGTATACAAATATGAAGTGATAATATAATAAGTCATTATGATATTTTTATTTCTTTGTTTTATTGTAAGTATTTGGATTATTAGAAATGTTTAGGGTACAACAAGTGTCTTGTTGACCAACACTATTAAGAGATTTTTCATAGAAAAATAAATATTGTTGCCATGCAGTCTTGTGTATATATAAGGATAAGTAGTTTGTTTTTTTGTTTACAATTGAGACCTTGTCCTTAACAATTGCTAGCATTACTAAATTTTTTTCCTAAGCACATAGTGTGTGGTATGGGTATCTACAAATAAAAAAAAAATTGTTTTTATGTATAAAAAAAATGAAATTAAAATGAAAATGAAAATGCCAATTTTGCTTGCAAGCTTTCATTATTTTTCAAATTTCTTACATCTAACCTTTGAAAAGTGTAGCTGCGCATTTGATATTTCTATATCAATTTAATTGTATTTCACAGTGAAACATAATATTATTTGTACTGTACATGTAGCAAATGTTGTTTGATTTTTTGTTTTTATTAATACGCCAAATTCTGTTAGAGTAAGTGCTTTTGTCCATACAAGTAGTTATAAATGTTAAATACAAAAATGTTTTCTTATAAATTATTTAGTACACATAATATAACATTGGATGGAACTGTGTTATAAATGAAATATTTATTTTATTGCAGTTTTTTTTTTTGTGTATTTTGAATTTACTTGACCTTATTTTGTACGTAACTATATATAAAATATAACATGTATGACATAGATTCACTTTTACGTCACCCCACCATACAAATTTTCACATTTATATACTTAAAATATTTTTCTGTTTCGTTAAAAGTTTAGTCAACTTGTGTTTACTTGTATGAGTACATTTAAACCATATCCGGTAGAAACAAATTGGTTTGCTCTATTTGATTTCCACTTTCTAAGATATTTCTTCAACCAACACTAAGAAAAAGTTGTAATTCTATTATAGAGGGAAAGGTTGAAATGGGAATAGGAAGAAAATTAGAGCGAACAAACTACGAACATTTGAAAAAGGATCTTACTAATTTATAAAATAAAAAAAAATAGTTCTTGGATAATAAGGATGTTGTTGCTAATGGAAGTGAATTTATAAAAAAAAATTTTTATATGTATCAATAATACCATTTTTATAGTTTTCCTTAAGTTGTATTTTCAATTTGTTATATTTTTTTTTATATGTGAAACTATAAAATTATCATATATATTTTTTGTAATTAAAGACAATAAAGCAAAATTTATATAATGTGAGCATAGCTTCTTCACTTTTAGAGTAGCCTATTTGAATCGCTTTCTATATGAAGTTCCGATAGCTGTTTTGCTCAGTACTTCATCGTCAATGACGAATGGCTCCGGAAGATAAACCTAACCTTTTTTTGTAAAGAAGTTACTAGATTTTTGGTTTGTTGATTGACGTCTATGCATTCCTTGGTAGGTGTTTTGTTTCAATTCTCCTCTTATCAACCATCTACGGGAGGGTTTCATTTATCTGCCATCTGGGGATGCTTTTCTAAAGAGGTTACAGAGTCGCCGGTGAGCAAATAATTAAAGTACGATTTATTAAAAAAATGTCTGTTAAGATTACATGGTCTGAAAATTATTAAATACTTTCTAAAATAACTAAACATAAAAATTAAAAGTTTTTCTCATAGAACAAATACCAATTCATATTATCTAGTTCTATAAAAATACAAAAAACAGAAACAACGAAAAAAAAGATTTAAAATAAATGTTTAAAATAATGTTTTCCAATAGTTAAGACCTTGTCGAAGTGTGTTTGTAGAGCAGAAATAATTTTATTCAAGTGAAAACTAAATAAGCGATATAAATTAATTTAAGTAAGCCTTTATATATTAGTTTTTAATTCAATAAGTGTTTTAATTATAAAAACACTAGAAACCAAGTTATTTTTACCGCACCTATTAAAGGTTGTTGCTTCTATTACATTACCACCTTTTGTTAGCAGCTCTTCTATTCTATTAAGTAACCGATTGTTTCACTTCATTGGCTTGCTGTTTTGCTTCTCTACTTTGCTATACTGATACTGATATCGTTTTATTTATGTACGCTAGTGCAACTTTTAATTAAGTCTTTTCCCTTCAAACCCTTAATACACAAAATTGTTCATTTAAATACCCTTTCATGTTCAGACAAAATACATTGAACATTTATAGAGATACAAAATATATTTACCTACAATATTAAACACATTGCTTTCACATAATGCTTCCCACCCATATACGCCATGGTATGGAAAAAATTGTATCGACTCATTGAACCCAAAATTAAACAGCAGTGGAGCACAGTTGCGATTTCAGATAGTATTCTGTGGAACGAACTGTTATTTTGCATTCAAAAAAAAAAATTGAAAGTATCGGCGAGCAACAACAATCCATTAATTTTTTGAAAATTCCATTAATTTTGTAAATCTGTTAATATTTGCTACTTTTACGAATAAAATTGAGTATTGGCCAGTGATAATTTTAAACATAAAATATTTTTAATTATAATTTGTTAATAAGAGCGACTCCAATTTGAAGACACTGAAATTTTGCTATAAAAATACATATTAAAATAAAAAGAAAAACGTGTTGTGGAGAAACTATAATTATTTATATTTTTACTAACATATACTGATAAATGTGTATCAGTGACTCTATTCAATTTTTTAATATAAATATATTTTATTATATTTTTTTTTTTTAATAATTGATTATAATTAATTAATTTTGCAATATTAATTTTTAGTACAATCAATATCTCATAATTACAACACAATATATTTGCCAGGTTATTTTAGATTAACCTGGCTGTTCGTAAGCCACACACTGACTGATTGCTGGTCCCTAGCGATAACAGTTGAAGTAAGACGTCTATGTGTATATATCACTAATTCACTTTTCATCCCCAACAAATGTTTTATATTTATAGTAGACGTTGTGTATCATGATTTCTTGTAAATCTAAGAAATGTTTTATCTTCATCTTTTTGAATTGTGGAGCAAAATGGAGGACAATAACATAAAAGTTGTTCCAAACTCTGCTTAATTCCAAACTTTCCGGATTCATTACATTCATCACTATTAGTAATTTATAGCTTGAGAATCTAAAAAATTTTTAAGATTACTGATGCATCGCTCATTCTCTTTAACTACCTATAGAGCTCCCAAACATTTTCAATGTGTTGATTACAATGTACACATAAAAGTTTATCACTATTAGTCGGCATGCTCCACTGACAGATCGTGACCCCTCAGCATACCTGTGGTCGTTTTGCAATCTTTGGAACAGCAATAAACTTATACTTGTATTTAGATTAGATTGTATTTAGATGTTACACTAAAAAAGGAGATTTGTACGTTTCTGCTTATCTTAAACCGGAATAATCCTCAAAAAACTATGTTAGTTACTTAGGGACGGTCGCAATGGATAGGAAATTGTGAAAAAACCACTTAGAAAATAAATAGCTAAATAAATAATTACATAAATACTAAATAAATAATTACATAAATACTAAATAAATAAAT